CCATGTTGTTCCTTTGGGCACATACCTATGGAAAACCCCTCTCAGTCTTGCCTACAGATTTTTTCCAACTAGCACCATAATACTATATCTTTGTTTTTAAAAAAAAAAAACCACACCACAGTTATTATTTGGTATAATAGCTCTAAAAAGCTCAGTGCTGCTCCATGGAAAACCTCTTAGAAAGCTCTATTTTAAAATATAGTCTACTTCTATAGGTCTTTCCCCTTAATTTTAATTATTCTAAGGGATATTTGACTGAAAACATTATCTTTGTTTCATAAGAGCATCTGCTCGTGGGTCTCATTTCTAACCTGGAATCAACTCCTCTGTAAGTGACATGAAAATTAGTTGGTTTGGAAGTTATCTTGGCATAGACAGACGAATGACTTTAAGACAGATATGACTTTAAGGCAAAAAAAGCCACAGGAGGGTGTCAGCATATGCCATGGTCACCATGCCTCAACTGAAAACTGACAAATACATAATTGGAACAGTCTGTCTCACCTGTGTGTTAATATTGTTAAAATAGGTATTACCGTTCTAAGAATGTGTTTAGACTTTATGGAATGCTTGCGAGTTGCTGCATACCTAATCTCACTTATAACCTCTGTACCCCATACTGCAACGTAATATATGACCATTTGCATCGTAAGCCTCTGCAGTTATGGAAATCAGCAGACAGGAGAGAGACATTAATTAGTGTGAAATGCTGGCATACCCTGCAGAGAAGGCCCACCAACACCTGATGTTCCATAATAGTTCATTTAAAAGGACAAAAAGACTGTTGATTACTCTCCTCCAGTCCCATAGAGAGATGTGTAAATGTATTTCTCCCACCAGCTGAGCTGGTAGTTCAGAGAAGGGGGAAAGGGAATAAAAATCCCTGGCAAGGAGAAACTATCTCTGTGCTGTTTGGACTCTGGAGGGTAAGGTTTTCTAGGCGTAAGTAAGACCTCCCCAGTGTTCAGCCTGGGTTAGCCCTAAGGGACATATGGAGCTTGCTTATTATAGAAGTTTCTACTAGTCTTATGTTTCAAAAGGTAACTCATTTGAGTGTGTTTACCTGCTTTAACCTCGTAAATAACTCTTATTTCCTTTTCCTAGTGAATAAATCTTTAGATAGTTTATTAAAGGACTGGGTACAAGCATTGTTTTTGGCGTGAGATCTAAGGTGCAACAGACCTGGGGAAAGTGACTATCCTTTGAGACTGGGAGTAACCTGAATATGGTGGTGATTTTTGGTGTAAGGGACTATCTACAACAAAGGCAAGCTTGCCTTGCTGAAAGGTAGATCAGAGTACCTGCAACTCCATGGCTAGGCTGTTAGTGCCTGAGGAGTTTACACTTGATAACTGGTTGGTGAAATTTAAGTACAGACCTTACAGCCAATTTGGTGTTTGTGCCCTGCTTCCCAACAGTCTGCCCTGAGGTTGGTATTCATGCTCTTGAGCCACTGCAGGACAACTTGACAGAGGGAAACAGATCCCACAAAACCATTTCTAGCCCACCTACCCTCCCACTCCAGATTCACCCACTTTTGCTCCCTTCTGGCAGTGCAAGTGAAGGGAAGCATCAAGCTCTGAGCGACCAGCAACAGCAATGTTGTTTTCATGAAAATATCTTCAGCAAAGAGAAACAAGAGAAAAAATAAATCGACAAAGAAGTTTCAAGTTGGACAGATACTCCAAGGCTCCCATGAGGCGTGAATGACTTTTTAATAATGATACTGAGTGTGATATCACTATATTTGATGTAGTGCTCTTCGTTAATATTAGTGTTAAGGTGTAGCTTATGCTTGGATTAGTAAATTGCCTCTTCACCAGAAGACATAAAAAGGAACTGCCAATACGATTAATAAGAAATAAAAATCAAGTCAGATTTACATACTGACACTTTTTTTTAAAAAGTAGGTTTCTTTCTTTTTAGAGCAGTTATGATTTCCTCTACTAAGCAGTTATCCTTTTCCCATTCCACACTGGCACTCATATCCTCATCTCCAAATGCAAACATGCTCACAGACACATCCCATATTGTGTAAGATTACTTACAACACAATAAGCTCATTGCAGAACCTTAACAGCAAGTACTATTAAATAATCAGAGTTACTAGTACTGACTGGATGCTTACAGTGTAGGTCAGCCCTGGATGAAGTCCCTCAAGGTCTGAGGGCATTCTTGAAACAGCATTATTTTCTGGGTAATTGATGAAAGGAAGCCAAATGGCAATGTACTTGATTGCTTAGACATGTCTCTTCCAAAGTAGGTAATCTTTTCCACAATGAGGACATCCCAAATTTAAACAAGTCATCTGTCCAGTCTCCCCACTACCTCATTTTGACTGGCTGCATCTCTGTTTGCCACTCCCCAGTGAACAGTTTTGGACAATATTCTTGCACACTAGGAGAACACAAAGCGAAGGGCGCCTCACTAAGGCGAGACAACTTTAACAAACATACCTAAATTTAGTGGACTTTTCAGAGTATCACAGAAAGTGTGTGTGTGAGTGTGAGAGAGAGAGAGAGAGAGAGAGTGTGTGT